CCTAGTGGTTGGTGGTGGAGGCTTTGTCAAAGACAAATTAGTTGAGAAATAGAGGTTTTGCTTCCGGAATATCTATCCTGTTCCATTGGTCCATGTGCCTATTCTTATACCAATACCAGGCTGTTTTGATTATTGTAGCCTTATAGTAAAATCTGGAAGTGTGATTCTTCCTGCTTTGTTTCTTTTGCTGAGGATTGTTTTGGCTATTCGTGGTCATTTATGCTTCCATATCAGTTTATGTATTGTCATTTCCATGTCTGAGAAGAAGGATGTTGGTAATTTAATGGATACTGTGTTAAATCTGTAGATTGTCTTTGGTAGGATGGACATCTTAACAATGTTGATTCTTTCAATCCATGAGCATGGGCTATTTTTCCATTTTTTTGTGTCTTTGGATTTCTTTGAGCAGTGTTTTATAGTTTTCATTGTAAAAGCCTTTTACTTCTCTGGTTAGGAAAATGCCAAGGTATTTCTTTTTTTTTTTTTGTGGCTATTGTGAATGGGATTGTGCTTTTTCTTTGGTTCTCTGCCTGCTTGTTGTTGGTGTATAAGACTGCAACTGTCTTTTACACTTTTATTTTTTATCCCAAGATTTTGCCAAAGTCCTTTATCAGTGAAAGCAGATTTTTGACAGATTCTCTTGGGTTTTCAAGGTATAGCCTTCTTAGTTCTTAACTAGGCATCTCTTTAGCCCAGTCCTAGGTCTCAGGCAAGTTATATTTAAAATTTTTTCCTTTCCTCAGAGATCTTGCATTATGTGATAGAGATCATTATGATCCCTACGGAACAAAGAAGAGAGCAGAGAGAAGTTAAATACCCTGCCCAAAGTCATAGAGCCTGAATTCAAACCCATACTCTTCTGATTCTGAAGCCCAGAGCCCCTTTAGACCATGCTGAGTCTGCTAGGTGGGACATCCTGACAACAGCCCCCAGGCCCAGCAGTCTTCTCTCCTCTATGGTACATTGCCTCCCAGCTTTAAGGTTCCTCTGCCTCTATTGATAAGGTTTCCAGATTTAGCAAATAAAAATATAGGACACTGGTTAAATTTGAATTTCAGATAAACATTTTTAGCACAAGCATGTTTCATGAAATACTTGTATCATACTGATACTAAAAACTATTTTTTATTTGCCTATCTGAAATTCAAATATAACTGGATGCCTTGTATTTTATCCAGCAATACTACCTGCTGAAAACTTCTAAACATATAATGAAGAAGTCAGGATGAAGGAGGGGTGCCAGGAGGGGTCCATGCCAGTTAATACACTCACACCTTGCTGGCAGGCATTCTTGTGTCTGAATCACTTGATGGGACACAGGGGAGATGTGGGCTTCTTGTTCTCTGTCGTGCCACTGCAGCCGAGAGCTCCACACACTGCTGTCTTGGAAAGGCTATTTTCACTCCTGCCCCAGGAGATACAGTTGACTGGAGATGGACAGAGCCTTCCCTTTGACTCCTTCCTGACTTTCCTTGTTCCCTAGCCTGGTCTGCAGGACAAGAGCAAGGACTTTCCCAGCCACCACTACCTCTTCCAGGAGGCCCAGGCAGAGGGTGAGGAGCTGCCTCCTGTTCAGCTGGTCCCCACAACATCAAGTGATGAGATGGAAAGAGTGCTGTCATGAGACCCAGTCAGAGCAAGGCTCTGTCTCAGCTTAGCCATTTTCTAACTCTGTGAACTTGGGCAGTTTATTTAAACCCTTGAACTCCAACAGGGATGAGAATAAGTCAGACTATTAGAAGGATCAAATGAGCGAATTACTTTAAAGCTCTATACAAACATATTTTTTAATGTCATCTCCAAATGGAATTTTTTTCATTTTTTGCAGTTAATTTTAAAGTATCTGAGACATAGAACATTTTATTACAAGAGTAAAATATGAGGACTTTTAAAAAACTTTTTATAGTCACCCTTGATCTCAACAGTACCTCACTATGGTTGATCTTTGATCTTTACTGTGGATATACTGAGAAATTTTTTGGAACATCTAAAACTTCTTCAGTATAACTAGAGAATTTGACTCACCCCTGAAACTGCACATGTAGCATCAAGAAATTCACTCTATGCTGCTGCCTGATGTTCCAAGATTCAAATCTGCAACTTGGCAATTACAAATTATAACTCTCCACAGACCTTTTTAATCTCTATCAGAACTGGAAACATGACTGTTTTCCATCAATGCCAAGAGTTACACTATTTTCAATCATTTTTATGTATGCCCTTCCAGCAGGGTGTGTGTGTGTGTGTGTGTGTGTGTGTGTGTGTGTGTGCGTGTGTTGTGTGTTTCAGACTGTTGTAATTATGTTATCTGTGTAATCTTGCAATCTGCTTTTTTCACTTTAAAGGACCTCATACACATTTGTCCATGTGACTACAAAGTCTTTAAAACCACCCATTTTAATGACTGCCTCACTGTCCGTCAAGTTGTCATACTGTCATTTACTTTACTATTCCTCTTTGCCAAATGTTTGCTGCCTCTAAGTGGCTTTTAGGTGGTCACTTTGAAGGTGGCACATGGAAGGGTGGGCAACATATGTGTTTCATCTTTTAGCTCCTCCCCACATACAACTACAGGGAAGAATTCTAAACAGTTTCAAGGACTTTCAATCTAGGGGAGGAGGAGGGTGAGATAAGGAGATCAGTACCCACCTGCCTTCTAAATGCACACATGCTAAACCCACATCAGATGCTTATGTGGACCCAGGATTGGGGGTGAGGGGTTGAGAGGGCAGGTATTGCCTGTTCTTTTCTGTCTCCTGCACCCCTCCCCAGCCACCACTTAGTGATGTCAAAACAGTATGGACCTAGAGCAGTGTCTTAAGAAAAAAGTCAGTTCTTGTTGATCTGCAAAAAAGTCACCCGTGCAGCATGGCTGAGTGGTTAAGACCATGGACTCTGAAGCCTGACAGAATCCTGACTCTTGCACTTAGGAACCCAAGGTCTTGGGCAGGTCACTTCACCTCTCTGTGACTTATTGCCTCATTTGCAAAATGGGGGGAATAAAATGAGACCTACCTCTCAGGTCTTCTGAGAAACACCTGTGAAGAATAAAGGGGAAGGGAGCCAGAGGAATTGGAGGTGAGTGGGGCCCTCAGACTGCAATGCCCGTCAGACACCTGTGGAAGGAGAGCATGAAGAAGTGAGGACTGAGTGAGAAGACCCTGGGAAGGCCTCAGCTCAGCTGGGCCAATGCAAAGACCCTAGGCAAATACTGAGTTGGACAGGAATGGTACAAGCAGCCCCACCATGCTCAGTCATTGAGCAACCAGGGAGAGTGGGCAGGTGAAGACTGTCAGCAGGCTACGCTTTCCTCGGGTTCTCTCAAGAAAATTCTGAGCCACACACCTCCATGGCTGCCATGTGACCTCACTGGGTTCAGTAAAGCACTCATGGCCATATGTGGCCCATAGGAAACCCGTGAAAGCTAAAATTGCTCCCACTGATTTATAATTCACAAAGCTCCTTCACATATATTACTCCACAATCATCACAATCACCCCCGTGCAGCCTGTATTTTATCCCCCTTTGACAGATGAGAAAGCTCTGAGAGGTCCTATGCTTTGCCCAGTCACACAGTTTGTCAGTGGTGGAGGTCTGACTCGACTTTAAGCCTCTTAAAGGTTAGGCCTATGTGATTCTTATCTCAGAATCCTGCAGTAGCAATTCAGATGGGGATGAAGATCGCACAAAACTTTATCCTCAAGCTAACATTTTTTGTGAGTTAGACATAAAAATAGATAATTCTGGGAGACCTAACATGTAGAATTACTTCCCATTCCCAAACACACAAGGTACTTTTTCCTTCTCCTGCCTCCAGCCCCCAGACTTTCTTTGTGCTGGCTTCTCAGCCTGCAGGACCCAGCTCACCTGCTGAAATCCACCCATCTTTTAATGCCTGGCCATTTTCTCCATGACAAAATCTCATCCCACCTCAGGAGGGGAATCACTTCACTTCTCTGTGCTTCTGTGTGCCACACTTTGTTCCAAAGCAATATCCCTCCGCCCTGCAGTGGAATGAGTTCACTCATCAACCACCTGCAGTAGATGGTGGGCACCTTGAAGGCAAAATCATTCCTTATTTCTCTGCAAAGCTCCCACTGGGCCCATTGTCAGCAGTAGTAGGTGAGCGATAAATGTGCCAGGCATGAGTGAGCCTACTGACACCATGTAGGGGTCAGGGGGATAGAAGAGGTGGAAAGTTGGGCCCTGGAAGTGATCATTCACACTTACACAGACGCAGACCTGTGACTGCTGTGATAGAAAGACAAGAGGCAGGGTTGGAGGGACCCCTAACAGACTAGGTACAAGAATGGGCATCTTTCTTGTACTGAGATTTCTGATTGTATCATTCTATGCTTGTATCCCCCAGGGCCTAGCACAGTGTGAGGCACATGGTGGGTATTCAGTAAGATTTCAAGGAAGGAAGGTAAAGGTGGGGTTTAATTTGAGTTCAGACCAGGGACTTTGAATGAGACCCAATACATCAATCCAGATGCTGCCTCAAGTCAGCTACAGTGGATCCCAACTAGGGAAAATTCTGCCCACACGAAGTTCTTCAGCAATGTCTGAAGATATTTTTGATAGTCACAGCTGGGGGTGCTACGCTTCTAATAGCTAGAGGCTAGAGATGCTGACAAATATGCTACAAATGTAAGGCAGCCCTCACGTTAAAGAGTTTTCCAAACCAAGATGTCAACAGTGCCACTGTTGAGAAGCCCTGAAATAACCCCAAAGCCTGCAGCCCGGGCTTGGAAGACTGTGTCTGAGAGATATTTGCCTCGTCCAAAGCATCCTTGGTTCCTAGTATGGGCACCACCTGAGAGTCCTTAAGCCTCCAGGCCCTTCCAAAGGCCATACCTGGGTGGGGGTGGGGATTTAGACAGCTTCCTACTCCCTTCTCTTTTCCTAACCTCTGATTCCCACTAAACCTGGCTGCTTGTTGAAAAAAAAAAGTAGGAATACTGGGAGCAGACTCAGTAAATGGGTACTGTCTGTTCCAGGAGCTGCTCAGAGACCCTCTATACATTGGCCTGAAACACCAGCGTGTACGTGGGAAGGAGTACGATGACTTGCTGGACGAGTTCATGCAGGCTGTGACAGACAAGTAAGTGGGCCGGTCTGTGCCTTTAGAAAGAGGACTCTTAAGAGATGTCTTGACTGAAGCCAACACTGGTTTTGGCAGATACACAAACAAAAGGCAGTAGGTGCCTGTTTTTCCAGGTGTTCTGAAAAATCCCAACTTGACCCCATGGACTAGTAAAAGAAGAGAGGGCTGATGGCAAAAGGCTCTGTGATCTGAAGGTAGTTGTCCCAGAAGGAAAACCCCTTAAAAGCCTGAGCTGTTTAGGGTTCTTAGCATGAATAGGGATGTTGAAGTGTTGGAGGAAAGACACATGCCCTTCTGAGGAAATGGCTTTGGAAGGCAGCTTGCCACATTTGTCGTCATTTTCCACCTCTATGTGAGGACGGGGAAGTGTTAATGAGCCAGTATGGCAGACCACACGGGCTGTGGGCCTGCAAGATTTATGAGGTGTCATCTCTTCACTGGAGTGGATGATATTGGCAGCTTCCGCCCCCCTCGCCTGCCCCATCTGTCTGCCATCATGGCCACCAGCTCACCCTGCCATGGCTGGCAGGCTGCTGGGACGGTGTCCCGGTAGCAGCCTCTACCCACCCACATTCAGACAGAGAGGCAAGCTCTCTGAGCCAGAGTTTCAGCAACTCCGCAGGCCTCTGAAGATAAAGCAGAACCCCTTCTCACTTGAGAACCTCCAGACGTTCTTGCTGCCCAAGAGTACATAGGCTTGGCAGAGCTAGCCTGCCAGTCCTTGGCAAAGTGCTTCCTTGTCTAGGCTCAGCTGCTTGAACCAGAGCAGCAGGTTTGAGAGAGTGCTGCTCTGACCTTTGCAGCCCACAAAGTGTCATTTGGGTGGGCTTTAGGGCTGTATAAACTGTATTTGACCTTTGAACCCCCCACTTTCCAGGTGTGTGACCTTGGGCAGGTTACTAAACTTTTCTGAGTCTCATCTGTTTTTTTAATCTGGAGATAAGAAAAAGAGTGTGTTGTTATGTTTTGCTTCTATTTCATAAGAGAAAAATCATGTTGCAGTTATATGAGATGGAAACGATCTTGGAAAAGGAAATTGGTGATGGAGTGCAGGGTCGGGGCAGAAGTTCCTGAGTCAGCAGGAGGAGCAGGAATTTTGCACACACCTGGAGAGCCTAGTTTTAGGAACACAGAAAGTCATACAGGGGAGAGAGGGCAGGCAGAATGCTGGGCACAGGTGGGCAGGTGGGTAGATGTGGTGATGTGGCCCAGCTGGTTGAAGACAAGGTCATCAGCAGAGAATGAGGATGGGGAAGGTGTAAGGATGGTGGAGGTGTGACCTAGTTTAGTTATCTAGGAGAATTGAGGAATGGCCAGACTAGAGAACTCTAGTCAAACTAGAGAACATGATCAATGGGCAGCTCTATGGGCCCCTTGAGGTTACTGGTCATGAATTTAACTTGGGCCAGTTAACCTATTTCTTTGTTCTCCAGCTAGGTTCAACTCTCTGGTTCCAAAGGCAGGAAGAGGCAGACATTAGGATATAATCAGGGTTAGAGTTTTTCCAGACAGTTGAGAAAGGGAAAGAGAAAGGAATTGAGTGTGTAATCAGGGGAATGGTTATAATTGTGTCATAAGGTCTAGACTGGGTAAGAAGAAACATGAGGATGTGGTGGAGGGCAAGGGACATCGAAAAGGTGATGGGACCAATGGATGGTAAGTCGCATGAGGTTTACAAATTGTTGAATTGGGTGGAATTAGCTGGAAAGAAAGGAGGTGGTGATCAGAAAGTTACATGTCTGTAGCTGAGACTGTGGAGGAAGAGCTGCTCTTGGGATGTGGCCACCAAAGAAGCTACATTAGTAGAGGCATAGTATCTAGAATAAGGGAAGGGAATGTCCCATTTTATTCTCCCCCTTTCAGATCATCCTGAATACCACATTCAGAATCTAAACAAAATATGTTGAGTGTTCTAAATTACCTAAAGCAACTTTGGAGAATAATTACCTAAAGCGACTTTGGAAAACAATCAAAGACTTGGCTTGGTAGAGGGAAGATTCAGACTGTACTGTCTACATCAGAGGCACAGTACTACCTCCAGACATCTGAAAGCTGCTCTTTCAGAAGAGGGTTAGATTCATTTCTGTATATTGTTTCTAGTGAAGAACCCATTTGTGGAATGCCAGAGGAGGCAGTTCCAAATAAATCAGAACTGTTCCACAGTACACTAGATTCCCTTTGGGAATGAGTTCTCTGTCACAGAAGGAATTCAAGGGTAGATTGTATGGCTTATTGGTAGTGATATTATAAGAGGGAATTCAAGCATCAGTTGCTCTTTAAGATGCCTTCCCACACCAGTAGTCTATTCCAGCCTCTTAACAACCCCGTGCAACTGACAGTGTAGGTATTATCATTCCCATTTTATGAAAGAGAAAACTGAGACTCAGAGAGACAAGGTGCCTATCTCAGGTCACACAATACCTGGAAGGACTACAAGTTGAATTCACCTCTATTGACTCCGAGTGTAGGCTGCTTTCTACAATGCCGAGTTACCTGTGGATAAAAAGAGATGGGAATGAAATTGCTTCAAGAGCCTGTTGTTTGCTTCCTGTTTCCAGAGCTCACTGCTTATCTAATGAGTCAGTAATCATTCCGTGATTCCCCAAAGAGAAGTCTTGCTATTTGTGAGAAGGTTAAATAAACTAGGATGTAAGAGGCCCTTCAAATTATCATCAGAATCAGTTCACAGTTTCACAGACACACACAGGCAGTCCAGAGAGGACCCTTGGGGAGAGGTGTGCGTCAGCCAACAGGAATGTGTTCTTAAACAGAAAAGATGATGGATTGATGGTTGCTTGTTTTGAGTTTCTAGTAAGCTAAAGCAGATGTTCCTGTGGATACTGTAGGTGGGGAATGAGTTGGTTTCCCCAGGCTCTCCTGGGAATACAGTAGCCCCAAGATGGAATGCCCGGCCTGAGGGTGAGTCAGGAGCTCCGAAGTCAAACACATTGTATTTTAAGAAAGAACCTTGGGAAATGTTGACTCTTGCCTCCAACATCCTCCTCTCTGTCCACATTCCACTAATAAAAAGCTCCACCTTCTTGCTCCTACCCACTATCGGGATGTGTGTTAAAATGTTTGGCCTGAAATAAACTCACAATGGCTTCTGTCCAGAAGCTTAGCCACTGAGGAGGACCTGCCAGGACAGAAGGAGTCTGTGAACCACAGCAACAGATAGCTGGAAGTATCCTCCTCAAAGCCGAGACAGACTGATGCTCCCGTACAAAGTACTGTTGTTTCTTCTTGTTCTTCTCCTGGTGTGCAGTGGACAGGAGCGTGTGCCTGAGCACCACATGCTGCTGGCTCAAGTTTTTCCTGATGGTTTTACTTACGTTTTTCATTCCAGTTACTTACAGTAGAAGGTATAGGAATCATCTGTTTTAAGTTTGCACCTGGAGTCTAGCTCTGGCTGATAATTGGCCTGGGCTGGGCAGAAGTTTGATGCCAGCAGCAGTTTCAGCCTTCAGGCAGGCCAGGAAAGGAGCCATCCCCTTTTTCTCTAGCTCCCAAACCCTAAAGAATCCCTAAATATAGGAATTAGCTGTTTTGTTAGTATGCATATTTGAATTGAAACCTTTAGGGGCACCTGCCAAATGTCAGAGCAGAAACAAACGGGATGAGGAGAAGCAGGGAGATGGAAATGGGGAGTACCACTGAGGCTGAAATGACACAGGGAGTGTACACTGGAGCATGTGGGCACGGGCTCAGGTGGGATTTTTAAGGCACTAGGATGAGAACGTTAAAGAAGAAGGGGAATAATAAAGAAATCCTACTTTAAAAATAAAGTCATCTATTTTTTAGCTCGAAGAACATTTCTTGTTTTTTTTGTTTGTTTGTTTTTTGTTTGTTTGTTTGAGTTGGAGTTTCACTCCCTCACCCAGGCTGGAGTGCAGTGGTACGCTCATGGCCACCCCATCGTCAACCTGCTGGGCTCCTTCCGCCTCAGCCTTCCAAGTAGTCGGAACTACAGGTGCACACTACTGCGCCCGGCTAATTTTTGATTTTATTGTAGAGACAAGGTCTTACCAAGTTGCCCGGGCTGGTCTCAAACTCACAGGCTCAGGCTATCCACAGGCTCAGGCTATCCACTCGCCTCGGCCTCCCAAAGTGCTGGGGTTATAGCCTGTGTCACTGAGCCCAGCCATTTCTTGGTTTTTTAGTCTCTCCATCTTTATCTCTGCACTCCGCCGCTCGTTCTCTCTCTCTCACACACACACAAATAGACACACAATACCTGGGTTTCAAATCATAGTAGAAGTCATAATTTCATTATTAGTGCCCTTTGTGAAAAGTTCTTGTTTTCAGATAAATCCATACCACCCTGGGTCCCTGATCTCTGAAGCCAATTACTGCACAGTCTCACCCCTTTATGCTACTTTCTAAATCTGCCGTGAGCCCCTGCCCTTCAGAGCCAACCCACGTGTTCCAGCATACACTCCCTGTGTCATTTCAGTTTCAGTGGCACTCCCCATTTCTATCTCCCTTCTTCTTCTCATCCTTTTGTTTTTGCCCTGACATTTGGCAGGGGCCCCTAAAGGTTTCAATTCAAATATGCATACTAACAAAACAACTAAATGTCTCTCCTGTGCCCTGATCAGATTGACAGGGAGCAAAGGAACTAGTATTTGTCAGGTCTTATTACAAAGCAGAGTACAGGAAACAAGCAGATGAGATTCCAAGACTTCTGGTCTGTGGTGTCAAGGCACACGCCCCTCATTTCTATTGCTGTATAACAAACCACCCCAAATCTTAGTGGCTGAACATTCTTTTTGCTCTTAATTCTTACAAGCTGAGCTGACTCAGCTGTGTGACTCACCTGATCTTGCCAGTGGTCATACTCATGGTTGCTTTTGGCTGGCAGATTAGCTGGGAGGGGGCTCGGGTGGGACACTGAGAAAGTTGGACTCTTCACAGTCTCAAGGTCTCTCCTTCTTTACATGGCCTCTCTATATGTTCTCTTCTTATCATGGGATAGCTGAATGTTTTCCAGGGCTCCCACGATCTCAAAAGTGGAAGCTGCCAGGCCTTCTTAAGAATGAGATCTGGAGGCCGGGCACAGTGGCTTAGCCTATAATCTCAGCACTTTTTTTTTTTTTTTTTGAGTTGGAGTCTCACTTGGTTGCCCAGACTGGAGTGCAGTG